AATAAAGGGATGATTATCCTAATCCTATAATGATTAGGATAACTACAACATATGGATAAATACAAGGGAGGATAATGACAAGTCTTGGCCGCCTGGTATGGATAAGGATAAGGTGCTTGTCGCCTGGTCTTGGACTGAAGTGAGACTGATGTGGTCTGGTCCATTTCCGGATATGTCCCAACCATCATTTCTCAACAATTCCTTTGTTTTTTTTTGTTTGGTGGCCATTCCTTTGTTTATCTTTTAAAAAAGTTTTCAATTTGTTTTAATTGGTTCGTTTTTATTGGATTGAACTCCCCTCTATATAAAATCATTTGGTTGCTATAGTTCAATTACAGTTAATATTATATTCACGTCTTATTTATCATACACAACCCACAATTAATTACAGACGATATGTTTAAAGGATCTACACAAGAAATAAATAGGATTTAATCAATTGATGGAATCAATCACTCTTTTGGGTTTGATTTGGGAACAGTCTGAAGTGTGAAGGTGCAGGTCGGAGCCAGTCTTTGCCGCCGATAAAATCTTTGCTCATGAAGACAGTAGCTTCTTCATCAGATAATTGTTTTGACCATCTTACTCTTTGCTTCCTGTCTGCGCCGGGGCCATAGCATTTGTATTCACCATAGTATACAGTACTGTACCATTATTAGTATTCAGTTTTTAGTCCGTATATTCATAACCAGACACACAAATTAAGGGGAAAAGGTTTTAAATAATTTTTTACTTGTTTTTGCTCGAGTCTCCCCATTCGTTCCAGCCTTGAGGTGCAACCACATCGGAGAAGAAGGAATAAGCAAAGACGACTCTAGAGTAAGCTCCCCATGGTCTTCCCAAAAATGAGGAACTTGTGCCGGTTACCTTGCATCCCAAGAATGAAAACCCTGATTTCTCCGTTGCCGACGATCTCATTTGCGCTGTTATCGACCCATTGTTCAGCGACAACGAGTGTATGTGACACTTCTACACAAAAATTATTACATCAAAAAGTAATTTAAACTTGTAAGTTTAGTTATAAAATAATATAATTTATTTAACATACCAGTTTAGTTATTAATATTCTTTAATTCATGATTTATTTGACATACCAGCTAAGCTTAAAGATTAGTATATATGCTAATTAAGAATTTACGAAATAAACTATTTTTATAGGTCAAACATGAATCCTCTCTAACTCTTACAAAAGTCAAACATATATATATATATATATATATATATCTCAATGATTTGAAGTGTATTTAAATGGACGTCATTATGTAAATATTGTCATAGTACTACTTACTTCGTAGAGAGAAGATGCGCTTCCACAAATGAAATCAGTGGCTCCTTCAATATAGCACCTCTTGAAGTAATGGTTTCCATTGTCGTCAAGAAGAGTATCTTGGTACGACGTTATCACGCAGCCGTAGAACGCTGCATTATCAGCCGCCACTCGCAACGCAACCGCCTTTCCAGCTGTTCCAAACTTATTCTGCTTTCAAACAAAGCACGTAAAGATCAGTCCTCGTAGTTTCTAAGTATTTATTTGCGGTTTGCATTATGTGTATAATAGATAAATGGTTTTAATCATATTAGGAAGAATTTTTCTGATCATTATTAAACACCAAATACACACAGAAAGAGAACTATACAAAATATAATACACTTTTAACAAACATGAAATAATCGTTCCGATTGTAACGATGATATATTGGCACTCGACAATGAAACTGGAATATTTAAACATGCATATATGTCAATATGTGATGAGGATTCGACCTGAATAGTGAGAAATCGGCATACGAAGTCGGAGGCAAAGACTGTAAGAGTAGGTGATTCCAAAATGTCCTCACCATCGCTACATGTGAGAACTGTGTTGGAAGCTTTTGTCCCACTCAGTGTTATGTAGGGTTTATCCGCAGGAATTATCACCTTTTCTCTGTTTCATAACATTAAAGATTTTACTTGTCACGGAATCTGATTATACGTAGAATTAGTAGTCATCACTAAAAGAGTAAAATATGTTCTACAGAATTAACAAAAGAAAACAGAAGGTCGAGGTCTAGTAATAAATAGCTAGCTAGTTAATTGTCGACTAAAAATGATAAGTTTTAGGTTAAAAACATGTTACATGCATAATCCGAATATAAGCATTTGAAAGCCATGGTGGATATCTCTTATTGGTACAAATGGTGGATATATTTTAAATAAAAAGAATGCATAATTTGATATAAATAAGCTAAAAAATATAAACAAAACATATAAACAAATAATGAAAGTAGTCTAAATTAATTTGTATAAATTAAGCATATTTTTATGTATTAAAATATAATCATAGCTCATCTAAATCCTGAAACCTTAAAACTAATTTATGGTATAGAATTTTAATTATGAACAATACCTAATCAATAACCCTATTTGTAAGAACTTGATATATTCAACAATGAAACCTAAACAAAATGGTCTATTTTCAATTTAAAAATATAATTTCCAGTCATCTCTATATAGTATGTAGAGAAATTTCCTAAGATACACCTAAAAACGTTTTTATCACAAATATATACTTTAAAAATAAAAATGATCAAAATAGACTTAAATATTTTATCAAAAATAAGTAAATATACATTTATACCATTTGAGTTAAATAATTCTAGATCTTTTTGTTTAGAGTTGAAGAGTGGAATTTTGGGAATATGTAAATTTTAAAAAATTAAAAACACTTCAAATTTTCAAAATAAAAAATGTTATTTTGGTCATTTTAATTGTTGAAATCTATTTTTGTGGTAAAAACTTTAAAAAGTCTATTTGAGATAATTGTCCTAGTATGTATAAATGTGTCTACGTAATCGTATTTAGTATGTTTATTATATATATACAAAGAAAACTGTATTGTACCGGTAAACTCCAGGCTTAACCCAAATGAAATAAAGTTGAGAGTTGTTTAGATTGGGAGGGATAGATTCAATCGCTTCTTGAATCTTGTTGAAATCTCCTTTGCCCGATTGGTCAACCCTTATAAGAATTGCACTTGACAAATCAACTGAAGATGAAGAAGAAGCCATGGACGAAGATGTGATTAAAGAGAGAATGAAAATATTGATGATTATGGTTTGATAATAAGTAGCAATGGAATTTGTTATATAAAGCCCCATCTCGGCCATATAGTCCATGTGAGGTTTCACGTCTTGGCGATTGTGCAGAGGACAAGAAAAACAAATACAAAACAGAAATCAAGAATGGAAATTGATAAATCAATTGGTCATAAGCAAGAATTTGAGAACTAAGGTATATAAAAGTTTCGTTTATACATAAAGGGATCTTTCATAAATATATATCAATGGGTTGACTAAAAGTCGGATGACGTGGTGGGAGTTGGGCAGCGGCCGATTTCTTATGATCGAAGTTGAAAGATTGTATTTTCGTCTCCAAAAGATTTTAGTATTATCAGATTCGAAGTTAAAACTTTAAGATACAAAGTCTACACACTAATTAACCTTTTTCTTTACGGTGCGAATCTATACAATATAGCTACATGCATAAGTTGAGTATTTTACGTATATATTTGATAGGATTGACTTTTATTATCCTTCTATGTATGTGAGATACTACCTGACAGAACGTCTTCATTTATGCAAGAGCTGTCTGATGTGTTCGTGCACGATTAGCCATTACGATTAGTTGCTAAACTGTCTCCATTCCTTGTTTCCTTTTTGTAATTTAATGGCTTTGAACTCTTTGAGATTAATATCAAATACGATTAATTTTTATATACGTCATAACATCTTCTTTTTGCTTGACCATATTACTTTATGGAGTTTAGATCACGCCTTACCAGAACGTAATAAAGCTGCGGACGCTATTGTAATAAGTGTCACTCGCGATTAGCGCCACCATATTACTTTTTGGAGGTTCAACATTTAGAGGATGGATGAAATTTTATCTCATTTATGTTTTAATGTCTAATAATATCTCCTCTTTTCTCTTATATGTTCTATAAACTTGTATTGCCTCGAATATTCTTTCGTATCAATGTTATAAAAAATAAAAAATAAGACATACCAAAGTTGCTCAAAAAAAAGATAAGATAATATACTTACTTTAGTTTAGGTACACTTTACGTGTTAGGTCGGCGGTTTGCATGCTTGCCGCATTAGGATTAGGCTAGCAATCAAAAAGAGATCTCTAACGCGTACTCATTTGACCCATAACCCATGGTTTCCATCAAATGTCATATGTATAAATCACAACGAAAATGGAACGAAGATGAAGACTTATAAACGCACGGGTTGTTGTTGTAAGATCATCAGCAAGTCACTGAAACATAATGCAAGTACAATATTACAAAGCGACAAGCCATAAACGCCTATCAGCTTGTTTACTATCGCTCGGAGAAACCAATATCTAACTCTTCTTTTGGATTTTATATATCCAACGTGCACCACGATTCACTAGATCAAATACAAAAGAATGGTCAACACAATTTTGTTTACTAATCGATGATTCGATTATGCTTTGTTTACATGAAATTACACAAAATAAAGTAATTCAAAATCATTATTACAAATTACAGTACACGAAACAAATATATACCATACAAGCATACAAATTATTATTTTTTAAATAAAATAAAAATGGTCAATTATTATTATGATTAGATCTTCTGGAAAGCGCCGACAGAATAAACTGTGTAGGGTGTGGGGACTCACCACGACGCGTCAAAAAGCAACCAAAAAATATCAAAATCAAATCAAACATGGGAGAATCGCTACACGCAACTCTTCTCTTCTTTTAAAAATCCAAAAAACCAATCATAACTCCCCCAAAATCGAAAAACCTCCTTTGATTTATCCAAATCCGTAAAGATGGATCCTCTGATGGAAGACGAAGAGTACAGCTTCAGGGAAGTGGTGCTACCCTCTCTAATCCCAGTCGTACAGGAGCCGGAGCTAGAGAGAGAGAACGGAGAGAGGAGAAGAGGGAGAGATGTGATCGTAGCCGTTGATCATGGTCCCAACAGTAAACACGCCTTTGATTGGGCTCTCGCTCATTTCTGCCGCCTTGCTGATACGCTTCACCTCGTCCACGCCGTCTCAAGTTCCGTTCTTTCTTTCACCCATCTTTTATTTTGGTCAATTGTGAATAGTAGATCTGAAAATGTTGATTTTTACTTGCTTACTTAGGTGTAAAGAACGATGTTGTGTATGAGATGAGTCAAGCCCTCATGGAGAAACTCGCTGTTGAGGCCTTTCAAGTTGCTATGGTACATTACATGTTCTCTCTCTTCTGCGTTTCTGCTTAATGATAGTAAACTGTTCCTTGATTGCTAAGTTAGGGTCCGAGAAAGAATCTAATACTGTCGGAAAAAAATTACATTCATCTATATTTTACTTTATTTACCTTCTTTAATAGGATTGAGAGGCAAAACTAATCCAACTTATCTCTTTTATTTTCCCTCTATTTATAGAGGAAAAAATTACATTCATCTATATTTTACTTTATATTTGCTGTTTTAGAGAAATATATTGATGATGCAAATCACATCTGTATGATAATAGGGTTCTGCTATTTCAGAAGGAAAAATAGCAAAATACCTTGGAGATGAGATGGTCGTGTTTGTTTGCTATCAACCTCTTAAATGCAAAATATATGGTGCCGTAATTGTTTGCATGTATATACTTATACTTGGCTTGATACTGATGATTTTGTTATGGTTTAGGTGAAGAGTGTGGCTCGTGTTGTTGAAGGAGAAGCGGGTAAAGTAATCTGCAAAGAAGCAGAGTTGGTGAAGCCTGCTGCTGTAATCATGGGTACACGAGGACGGAGCTTAGTCAGAAGGTTAGATAAATTATAGTATTATCTCTTAAGAAGAAAATACTAGCTGTGATCTCTTGTTTTGACGATTCTGCTTTGGGATTCTGTGCAGCGTGCTACAAGGGAGTGTAAGCGAGTATTGTTTCCACAATTGCAAATCCGCTCCTGTCATTATCGTTCCTGGAAAAGGTACTTTCACATAAATCAATCAATCAATGTAGTGATTTTTTTCCAAACAGTTTGTTTGTTTGTTTTGTACGATATAAACTAAAACCGTTGTGTGTTGTAAAAGCAGAAGCTGGAGAGGAATCTATTGTAACTTGGACTAAAACAGAAGATTCAAAACCCTGAAGAGAAAAGCTCTCAGTTCTCCTTGTACCTCTTGTATCTTTCTCACTGTAGTTGCAATCATTGTTTCAGTATCTTTGTAAAACCTTCTTTTGCTACTCTTCTTCTTAATGTGTGTGTGTTTTGTAGTTTCAAGCTTTGTGTATAAGGAACATTTTGTTATGTGTATGCAATGAATGGTGTTGTCATGTTTCCAGAAATCCAATTGTGATTAGTCTTCCAAAAATAATCGAAGAAGCTTCTCTTTCTACTGCCAGCGATGATTAATATTTATATATATTCCCAATCTGGAATTTGAGAGAAATCACGATTCTTTGACTTTCGCTCGCTCTCACTCTCTGAGGCATTTGATCGAACACTTGGTGTGCGTAGTAGAGACTAGAATCATGGCGGAGTTCTTCAAAGAGCTCGAAGCTCAAGATGGAGTTAGAATGCCATGGAACATCATCCCCGTCTCAACAAACAAAGAACAACAACAACCCATAACCTCCGAGATCCCAGTCTCGGCAATCTACACACCTTTAACCTCTAACTCCCCTCTCCTCCCATACCCTCCTCTCCGTTGCCGAACCTGCCGCTCCGTCCTAAACCCTTACTCCGTCGTTGACTTCTCCTCCTCCACATGGGGCTGCCCCTTCTGCTTCAACCGCAACCCCTTCCTCTCCAACTACTCCTCCTCCATCTCCGACACCAATCTCCCTCCCGAGCTCTTCCCTCACTCCACAACCGTCGAATATCTCTCTTCCTCATCTTCCTCCTCCTCCTCCTCTCCTCCCGTCTTCCTCTTCGTCGTTGACACGTGCCTCTTCTCCGACGAACTCGATCTCCTCAAATCCTCTCTCTCCCAAGCTCTCGATCTCATCTCCGACTCCTCCCTCGTCGGACTCATCGCCTTCGATTCGTTTGTCCGCGTCTACGAGCTAGGCTTCCCTCACTGCACCAAATCTTACTTCTTCAACGGAAACAAAGACTATTCCAAAGAACAGCTATTAGATCAGCTCAGCTTCTTCGTCAAGAATCCCAAACCTTCTTCCGGCGTCATCGCCGGTGTTCGCGATGGTCTCTCCGCCGAAGACATTGCTCGGTTTCTGTTACCTGCCTCCGATTGCCAGTTTACTCTTCACTCTGTTAGTTAAATTCAATCTTATCAATCAGAATTTTTGTTTGTTTATCTGTTTAACTTATTTAGTTGCTTAGGTTATTGAGGAGCTTGGGAACAATCCGTGGCCCGTTGGACCTGATCACAGACCCGCGAGGTGTACAGGTGTTGCGCTTCGTATAGCTGCTGGTCTCTTAGGAGCTTGCTTCCCTGGCTCTGCTGCTAGAATCATGGCTTTTATTGGTGGACCTTCCACTCTAGGCCCTGGAGCTGTTAGTCTCTTGTGACTCTCTCTCTCTGTTGGAATCTTGGTGCTATCTCAAGATCTTGGCTTTTTTTTGTAGATTGTTTCTAGGGAGCTTTCGGAACCGATTCGTTCTCACAAGGACATTGATAAAGATTCTTCTTCTGCTCCGTGTTATCGAGAAGCTGTTGAGTTTTATGAGAAGCTTGCAAAACAACTTGTTCATCAGGGACATGTTCTTGATGTTTTCGCGAGTTCTGTTGATCAGGTTTGTTTGGATTGAGATGTTATTGTTTAGTAATGTGTGTTTGTGTTTGGTAGATACTTTTTTGATATGAGTTTGTGCAATTTTTGTAAAGGTTGGTATAGCTGAGATGAAAGTTGCAGTTGAGCAGACTGGTGGGTTTGTTGTGCTTTCTGAAAGTTTTGGCCATTCGGTGTTTAGGGATTCTCTCAAGCGGGTGTTTCAGTCAGGTGAAAATGATCTAGGCTTCTCCTCATGGTATTGCATTACCTTTGAACAGTTTCTTACCTGCTATGTTTATCTTCAGTGAGTTAGGTTCTAACAGTTTTGTTTTATCTTTTCTTACAGTGGTATATTTGAAATTAACTGCTCAAAGGGTGTCAAAGTTCAGGGAGTTATTGGCCCTTGCGCATCTCTTGAAAAGGTATCATTCAAAAGCGTGAAGGTATCTTTGTTTTCTTTAAGTTCGTTGTGATTAAGAAGTTTACTTTCCGATGATTGTTTTCAGAAAGGACCATTATGCTCTGACACTGGTGTCGGTCAGGGGCACACATGCGCGTGGAAGATGTGTGGCCTTGATAAAAGTACTTCCATATGTTTGGTTTTTGAGATTGCTAAAAGGGAGACAGCTGATGTCGTTTTGCAGTCGCAGATCAATCAGTTCTACTTCCAGTTTTTAACATAGTAAGGGATCTGAAGCTTTTCTATCTAAAATTGCAAGTTCTGGAGGGAGAGGTGGAGACATTTTGCGCTTATGAAATTTATGTTTCTGTAGTTATCAGCACTCAAATGGTCAAACAAGGCTCCGGGTTACAACTCTTTCAAGAAGATGGGTCATGGGAACTGATAACTTACAGGCAAGTTTGAGTAGTATGTTTTATGATATATGCAATCTTATGAGAAAGGTGGATCTATATTTGTTTCATTATCTTGTTCTTGTAAGGAGAACTAGTTTTACTCTGAAAATGTGAACTTCAGTAGTTTCTATCTTCATATAGCTATGATCTCACTGTTCCTCAAAATTTGCTTAGTATAGGAGTTGACAAATGGCTTTGACCAAGAAGCAGCTGCTGTAGTCATGGCACGACTTATTTCTTTCAAAATGGAGACTCAGGTACTCTTTGATATTTAAGATCATATCATAGTTTACTTTTGTTTAGGTTTCTTACTTGTTATTTTACAGCCTGAGTTTAATCCGCAAAGGTGGGCGGACAAAGCTTTGATAAATCTATGCTCTCGGTTTGGAGAGTACCAAAAGGGCAATGCTTCTTCATTTACCTTACCTACTCAGTTATCAAATTTCCCCCAGTTTGTGTTTCACTTGCGCCGATCTCAATTTGTCCAGGTACTCTGCTTTCACAGTCCATAAATGCGTGAGAGGCTGTTGTAACAATCTTTAAGCACATTTTGTCTTCTCCTTTTGTAGGTGTTTAACAACAGCCCAGATGAGACAGCATATTTTCGAATGATATTGAACCGAGAGAACGTTTCAAACTCAATCGTGATGATTCAACCTTCACTGGTTTCTTTCGCATTCCATTCCCAGCCAGAACCAGTTCCTCTTGATGTATCATCCATCGCAGCTGATAGAATCCTACTGTTGGATGCCTACTTCACACTCGTTATATTTCACGGCGCCACAATCGCTCAGTGGCGAAAAGCTGGATACCATCATCAACCTGAACACCAGGTTACACATTATCATCCATCATCTGAATTTTTTTTTTTTTAAAAAGAAGAAATCTGGAGTCTGATCTTTTCTTTTGGCAGGCGCTTGTGCACCTGTTGCAGTCCCCTAAAGACTATTCAGATACGATAATCAGGGAAAGGTTTCCCATTCCGCGGCTTGTCATATGCGATCAATATGGTTCACAGGTAGCTACATCTCCTGAGTAGTTAAACTCAGCTCATGTTTCTGTGATATTTAATTGATTGCTATAAGTAATGGTGTGTACTTGTGGCAGGCTCGTTTTCTACTAGCAAAACTGAATCCTTCGTCAGATGGGAATGGTCCTTTTTCAGGAGGGACAAATGTATTCACAGATGATGTTAGCTTGTCTGTGTTTCTTGATCATCTTCGAAGACTCATTGTTCACTAAAGAGAGACCTTTTTTGTCGTACAGATTACAGATTGTTTTTATATTTCTTTTTTTGTTTTAACAGAATGTAACAAGGGAAATTGGAGTATTTACAAAAAAATAAAAGATCTAAAAAGGACCAAAACTAAATTTTAGAACAGTGTAGCTTTTATATGCTTGCAAAAGAGAAGGCGTCAAATTAGAAGAAACCTAAGGCCGTTGGATTGGAATGGGCCTCGGCCCACTACAGAGAGATTTTTTCCATTTTGTATAAGACGCAGCGTTTTATGCCTTGGTGGCCAAGTAGAATTTGCATGTTGAACAAGAAAGAAAGAGGTGTATATATAGGCATATCGCCTCTCGCCTTGTAGAGAAAGGAAAGAGAAGTAGAGAAACTAAGGAAAGAGAAGCAGACTTTTTTTGCCGAGAAACAAAGTGATTCAGGTAAACTTTTAGATTCGATTCTCTCTTCATTAAGTTTTCTTTTTTTCTGTTTATGAAATCAAAAGAGATGATGAATTACTGATAGTAGCGAGTTCTTGTTTAAGAATCATCGCTAGTTTTCGTTCTTGGGTTTTAGTTATTCTCTGTTAGGAATTGAATCGAACACTTGGTGGGTATTATCATTGTGTAATTGCAGTGTGTTTATCTTGCGGTTATTAAACAAGAGTAGTTTATATATTGGTTTCACCTTGGATTGAATATTGCTTATTTTATTAACAGGAAGAGATGGATAGCCAGAAAATTCAAACCGAGAAGGAGCCAAAAGCAGCAGTTTCTACGACAACTTCTTGCAGGAAGTATGTCAATGACGACAACGCTACTTTCCTTGCAAACCTCAAAGACCACTTCAACGAGTTCATCAAGGCCTCTATGGACGAACACAAGACTTGCTTCAAAAACACCATCGACAAGGTTCTTTTCTATCTCTATTACTATCTCCTAGGAAACTCTCTTTGTTGGATTTGGCTTTTTTGTTTAGACTTTAAATCATTAGTTTGTCTTGTTGCGGTACAAACCCCTACATCTAAAAAAACGCATGATTTATTCTCTTTGTTTTAATTTAGTGTTAAAATCTGTCTGTTAAACTTATCTTAATATGTTAACCTCACTCGTAGATATTCGGGAGCTCAAAGGAGGTTGAGACTAAGGAAGTCTAGAGTCATGCACCTGTTCAGGCAGCAGATTCTACTTGAAGTTGTCATTCTTGTCTAAAGCTTCAATGTTCCTTTTGCACAACCTTCAAGTTTTTTCTTCTTTTTATTATCTTAGCTGAACTTATATGTCTCTATCATGTTGCAAAAATTCTCAAGTGCTTGGGTGTTAATAAAATCAAAGAACCAGCTTTCTAACCCCTTTAAAAAAAAAAATTCTCGTTCTTAAATCATTTATCATTGCTATCTATAAGGCTTTTATCAAGAGGTCTTAGAAACAAACCTCCTACTATCTTGTTTCTGTCACACTTCGTGAAATATCTCATGCAAATATGCAATAGAGTTTGCTTGCATGATAATCCCTAAATACGAACCTGTTAATAAGACTAGGGCTGGGCATTCGGGGTCCCAATCGGGTTTCGGTTCGGGTTCATTCGGGTTTCGGGTTTTCGGGTTCATGAATTTCAGCCCCATTCGGATATTATAAAAAATCGGGTCGGATTCGGTTCGGGTTTAATCGGGTTCGGTTCGGATTTAGTAACATGTCCAAATTCCAGTTGAACCCGAAATAGTTTTTGTTTCGGATACTTATTGGGTTATCGATTCTAAAAATACTAATTTATACTCAATTAAATTCACTATATTTTCAATCTTTTTATTAAATTGTGTATTTAGCTTCTAAATAATATTATGAAACTCATATATCAACAGTATAAGATTTGTCATTGAATTATATGTGACAATACTAAACATATCATGATTAATGATAAACCAAAGTCTTGTATGAACGAAAATCATACATAATGAACATAAAAGGTTAAATTTAACAACTAACAATTATATAAACGTAAGAAGTAATATTGAAAATTTAAAAAATAACATTATTTAAACTTCAAAATAAATTTATTCGTAACTTAACTTCAAATATATTGTCAATCATAAACATTAGTAACAGCCAAAGAACACTATATATTAGACTAAATATTTGAGTTAATTATTCATATCTTAACTAATTATTATAGGTACTCAATAATATATTAATGTATTTTGGAAACATATTAAAAATTTAGATTGAGTATGATATAAGTTTTTTTGGAATTTTAAAGTTTCGGGTTCTTTCGGATATCCATTTAAGTTCGGGTTCGGTTCGGATAAAACCCATAACCCGAAATACCGTAAAACAAGATCCATTCGGTATTTATGTCGGGTTCGGATCGGTTCGGATTCCTTTTTATCGGGTCGGATTCGGTTCGGATTTTCGGATTTCGGTTTTTTTGCCCAGCCCTAAATAAGACAATGGATTTGAGGGAGGACTAACAGGCCTGTCAATGCAAATCTGGTTGTTCTTCGAATCAAGATATAACTTACAATTTAGACTCATATACTAAAGCTTATTATCCCTAAAGCTTATTTTTCCTTTTGCAATCTCTAGTATTGGAGTTTTAAATGTTTACAAGTTTGTATCATGTGTAAAAACACTATTCAGGTGTGTCCTATTAATGTAATCACAGAACCGGCTAGGGGGTAGTATAAATGATTTGTATGTAATGGTCAGTTTTGCTAGTTTACCTGAATCATTTGTTGTCGTAATATATTAGACTTGTTGTGAATCAAGATAGAAAAAGAAAATTGGTTGTTCTTATTATTTTTCTATAGACAATAATATATATGAATACAAACTAGGGTTTAGACTATTCTAGAATATAGACTTATGGAACTAATAAATATCTACATAATAGTTCATAACACTTCTTTTTAGATGCCCATATACAAAAATATTCCTAAAACGCATAAGATATTGCCTCATTAAAAACCTTACCAAGAAAATTCAATAGAAAAAATGATAGTTAAAGGAAAAATAGTACAGCGCGCATCTACTCCTCCTTCATGAGTACATAACTTGAAATAACTTATAGAACATAATCCAATGTGATAAAATAACTCCTTAGTCTTGGACTTAGATCGGTTCACTTTTCTTATCAGATTTGATATTTTTCACTGAAATTTCAATATCTTGATGACCGTAGGACAAAATGACTTTAAACCACTTGGAGCTCGAAGCTAACATCCATTTCTAACTTTAGGCGCCGATCTAGCTCTGATAAAATGAGAATACTGAGAGATATTTGAATATCATACAAGATTAGGTCATCTAAGACCGCTTGTACGTGTCCAACAGAAACAGTCATATATCGAGTTTTATCATAACGAATGACTTAATTCAAATTGGAGATGAAAGTAGACTCAAATATCTTTCTTTGGACGCCAAGTCCATATTTTTATTCCATTCCTCACTTAAATGAGAACATTCCTCTTTAAGTATCAATTAGTTGTGTGTTTTTTGTTACCTCGTTAAAACTTTGACATGAAAATAAACCTTAATGGGATAAAAGCCAAGATAAGAAACAAGAGTACAACCACAAGCATCATCATATTCTCCCCCTGGAAGCGTCATCTTGGAGAGATGTATTCTCATCATATATATCATCATTTTAAGAATTTATGTAAGCATATCAATATACCATTAGTGAATAAACTTGTTTGATTATCAGATAATCTCGTAGACCATTGGACTTCTGGTCCATAGTCCATAGTACTCCTTTCACATAAGAGATCATATCTTGGTCTATTTGGACACCATGTCCAAATTTTCTTTTATAGACAATTTTCTAAAACTTTCATATTGTAATAAGACTTATTCATTCTCTTCTTGTAAATTTACAAGTATGACTATTCTTTTTGTCATACGAAATCACATCTTTCAATAATGAAAGAAAACACTAAATATCCCAAATATCATCTAGATATGGTACTTCATAAGAAATATTTTTTTCTTTATATGCTCAATATATTTGCACAATAAGGTTCTCGAGAACTAACGCTTAGAGCTTTTAACAACCCAAATCATTATGGGATTTACTGCTTCATGCAGTTTACACCCTTATGGATCTTTCACATAATTGTTATATTCCAGTGACTTTCAATTCTCGCCAAACTAAAGAAACTTTAGAGTTGATGCTTCCACCACATGATGATAAGTTTCTTATAACAATTTCAGGTCTTTGTGAGAACCCTTGTGTAACTATTCATTTGCATCTCACAATTTTTATCATCTCATTCATGCTTTCACATAAAGACCCATTTACGTACCACTGGTTTTACCCATTAGGTGTACGGACTACCGGTCCGAATATTCTTCTCTGTCCAAGAGATTTAATCTCGCATCTATTGATTTTTATTTGTGTACATTTTTAGTAGATGGTTCATGATCCTCATTCTTATCAACTGTTACATTGCATGCGTAAGTATTCACGACATCAATTTAATATCGATCCATATTGTTCCAGACATGACATAGATATTTGAGATTCTTTTATTCTCAGGTACCTGAATTTTTTTTTTTTTGTCATGTTTTCATCTCTTCTTGTGAGATATATTTCATTCTTCGATTTTTCCATTTGCATTCATGATCCTTTTATTTTCTGAGGATTTGGAACCGATAGATCTATCACTCTTTAAGCGCTCTTTAAACTCATTAGCAGTTTGATATTGTTCTTCTGGGACATTCATTTTAACTGGAGCATTTGCAGCTGGTACTTATGATAATCACTTTTTAGGGTCAGTAAGTGAGTCTCGCAACTCATATGCTAATATTTGTAATAGAATTATCTTCATACATTCATTTTGGAATTTTATTCACGCTCTCTATTCCGAGGTTCGTTGATAATTCATTTCAACTCATTCATTCTCCAGCTGTTTATTTTCTCCCCCTCCTGTTGAATAGACTAACTTTAAGTCTTTAAATAAAAGGAGATCATATCCAACATATTCATAACTTCCTTTGAAGTCCCATGTTTTAGTGGTGTGGTAGAGAAATTATAACATATCTAAATTTTCTAGATGGAGATCTTTGGTTTCTGACCCAAAAACAATTTGATGGGGAGAGTTCTTAATTACTCTTTTGCGAAGCAATGCTGCTGCATCTTAAGTATGAGCAATAGCTACAAGATGTCCTTCATGTATCCTCACATGCATAAAACAATCGTCAAAGGCTTATGAATTCACCAGTATCACCAATTAGTCTCGCAAACATCAGGGCGCGGATCTATGACAAGGATACATACGATTTTCTTGTCGTTGAATTAATTATAGACATATGGTGGATGATCAGTTGATAAAGGATTTTTGACAATCCTACAAATCAATGTAGTACAGAAAGATGTCAATCCAATCCTAAGTGATCACGATGCAAAGAAAATACAAGTGAATGCTTAATCTAAGTGCGATCAAGATGAGTTTGAGTACTAACCAAGTAGCAGCAGTTATAATAAAACTAAGAACTAAGGTAACAGAGAACTAAACAAGTTTTCAATCAATATTAAGAGAGAACCCATGGGTGTAAGGCAATCGAACTAAGATGACTAGCTTCCAAGTCAAGGTGTTATTCAAACAATCAACATGTTCTATAGGTCTGGATCTCGTTCAGATAAATTAATCCACTTCCGTGACAGAAATCCCTATGCTAATCATGAATTAAACATCAACTTCCGTTGGCCTAATGCAATCTAGCATGCATGAATTATAAGTCAAATAACCATTTAGCAGTCATAACATCAACTTCCGTTGGCCATTCTCACTAAAGCTGAACTAAGTTTGTTCAAACATTTCAACAAACACCTTCCGGGCGTGAAATAACTTATAATCTAGATATAAGAGATCAAGTTCGATCTAACATTAAGAACCCTTAGTAAGCATAGAAACAAGTAGATTTGGTAATATACACCTTAACTCTTCACTAATCACTTCAGATCTACGTAACCCATAGATTCAAGAGGACTCTACTCACTAATTTCATGATAGATCTTAAACCCATGTTAAGCTTAAGACAAACCGTGTTTAGAAAAATAGATAAACACTTAATATTAAAGATTCAAAAGACAAATCTTATAAAAGAGATTAAAAGTTATCTTTAGAGAGAAAACAAGATTGGAACTAAGATAAAACTTAGATAATTAGGGTTTTGCTCTTTTAAACATATATATAGGTCTTCTAAAATTAGGGTTCCATCGGTAAACGCTATTTTCTCTGTCATGTTGCAAAAATTCTCAAGTGCTTGGGTGTTAATAAAATCAAAGAACCAGCTTTCTAACCCCTTTTAAAAAAAAAATCTCGTTCTTAAATCATTTATCATTGCTATCTATAAGT